ACAATAGTCCACCCTGCTGGTGATAAAGGCATGAACAAGTTTCTCCAAGTCTTGACTGGAAACAAAACATCTAATTCTTGCAATGTTTTGTAGATGATAGTATGCTGATTTAGTTACTGGTCTGTCCCCAGAATCACACCAAGATTCCTGACTTGATTTTTAGATGTTAGACCCTTAGAGTCAAGGTATGCATTCACCTTGAGAACTTATCTTTGTTTCCAAATGCAATGACTTCAGTTTTTTCCTTGTTTAACTGAAGAAAGTTCTGGCACATCCAACTGTTAATTTCATCAATGCATTGGCAGAGGGAGTCAATGGGGCTGTAGTCATTTGGCGATAAGGCTAGGTAAATCTGGGTATCATCTGCATAGCTGTGATAGAACCAAATTGCCTTTCTCATTATTTGACTTAGTGGGAGCATATACAGGCTAAACAAGAGCGGTGCAAGAATTGAGATTGCCTTGTGATTTAGATATGTCCCCTTTGAAAAAGTCAAATGCACCACAAAAGTCATGTTTGATATTTAATTCTGTGTGTGTCTTACCCCTCTTCTATGAGCATGGGTGTAGCGAGAGGTGTGAGGTCTTCAGCAGCCAGCAGCTGGGCTGTCAGTGTGTGTGACTGCGTCTTCAGCCTGCGGCCAGTAGAGGGTGGTACAGGATATTTACACAACAGGAAAGAGTGTGTTAGCTGAGGACTGCTGCACTGATCTCTACAGGACACAGGGTATGTGCTCACATCCACAGAACGGCTGCAGAGAGAGAACAAGAAAGGATATTAAACATCATACATGCCATATAGTATATAAATGGAATTTGATATAAAAGCCAAAAATCAACATGAAATAGCATTTACAACAGTATCATTTTAGTAGTAGTTCTTATTCATATTTTGAATTAGATGTTTTTTTATTTTCTCTTTAATTTGACATTTTCTTTAAGTTTAGTAACTTTATTGTGTCTTTTTACGATTTTTATTTTAGTTTTTTTTAAAAAATATGTCTATATAATATGTATTAGGTTTTTAATTAATTTATTAGTTTTTGTTTATTTAGTTATTAGTTATTTATTAAAGCAATAAGCCCCAAGAAGCCATGGTTTACAGTGAATTTATAACAGCTAAGGGGCGTTGTTAGGCACGACGCGAAGCGGAGTTATAAATTCACTGTAAACCACGGCTTCACGGGGCTTATTGCTTTTATAAAACGGTTATCCCATGTATGTAGTAAGGTTTCACTAAATAAAACCGAGCAAATAAAGTGTAATGATATTAATAAAAACAGTATTCTTCCGCCAAACAATGCAGTTCCTCAGAAACAGTTGTGGATGCAATAAAGTGGTTGCCGAGCAACACACAAAGTAAACAAAGGTGTGTGTTTGTAGAGTAATTTACAACAGCTTCGAACGTGGCTCAACCAATCAGAATCAAGGACCGGAACTATCCGTTTTATAATAGTTATTTTAGAACTTCAACTAAACAAAAATGGGAAATGTTGCCTTGGCAATTTTATTTCAGTTAACCTTTAATTAAAATAAAAACATTTTAGTTAACAATAATAATAACATTTATTTTGAAAACAAACACTTTTTTTTCTTTGTGAAAGTTAATTAAAATAGATTAAATTTGGAGTGTTTTTTTGTTGTTTCGACTTTCGATATTACATTTTTATGAAAGATTATTAAAAAAAAACATTTTGTCTTTGGAATAACATAAAATATTAAAAAAGAAGTAAAAATAGCATTAATTTTGAGCGTTTCTTTATCTCGTTTCAACTCTTTGCTCACGTTTGTTATAGCATGAGGTTCGTTCCACAACACAAATATTACCATTTTTTGAAAGATTATGAAAAAACTAACATTTGTGTCTTTACAATGACATACACAATAAATCAATTAATAATAAAAATAGCATTTCTTTATCTTGTTTCAATTCTTTGTTCATGTTTGTTATAGCATGTGGTTTATTCCACAACACAAATATGCCTTTTTTTTTTTATAAAAGATTATGAAAACAATTTGTCTTTACAATGACATGCACAACAAATCAATTACGGTAATAAAAAATATTAATAGCATCAAATCTGAGCATGTCTTTATTTTGTTTCAACTCTTTGCTAATCTTTGTTATAGCATGTGGTCATTCCACAACACAAATATGATTTTTTTTAAATAAAAGATTATGAAAAAAATTTGTCTTTACAATGACATGCACAATAAATCAATTAATAAAAAAATAGCATTTCTTTATCTTGTTTCAATTCTTTGTTCATGTTTGTTATAGCATGTGGTTTATTCCACAACACAAATATGATTTTTTTTTTTATAAAAGATTATGAAAACAATTTGTCTTTACAATGACATGCACAACAAATCAATTACGGTAATAAAAAATATTAATAGCATCAAATCTGAGCATGTCTTTATTTTGTTTCAACTCTTTGCTAATCTTTGTTATAGCATGTGGTCATTCCACAACACAAATATGATTTTTTTTAAATAAAAGATTATGAAAAAAATTTGTCTTTACAATGACATGCACAACCTCCATTTGTGGCCTTCACAATCTCCCTCAGCTCTCAGAGGAAACACATAAATGAGACGCGAGCAATAGTACCCAGCGGCGAGAAGCACTTCAGGTTCAATTCTGTGGGAATGTGCTGAGATTGTGTGGAGTAGAATGAACGATTAAATCAATTCAATCTATACACTACAGTTTTGGGGTTGGTAGGATTTTTTGAAATGTTTTTAAAAGAAATTTCCTATGCTCACTGAGGCTGCTTTTATTTGATCAAAAAGACAGTACATTTATCTTAAAATACAGAAATGTTGTGAAATATTATTACAATTTAAAAGACATGTTTCTATTTGAAAATACCTTAAAATGTAATTTATTCCTGTGATGCAAATCTGAATTTTCAGCATCATTATGTTACATGATCCTCCAGAAATCATTCTAATATGATTTATATTTTCTAATATTTGAATGCTCCAGAAACATTTCTGATTATCATCAATGATGAAAATAGTTGTGCAACTTTTGTTGAAACAGTGAATTTTTTTCAGGATTTTTGATGAATAGAAAATTAAAAACAGAATTTATTTGAAATAGAAATCTTTTGTAAAATGAAAAATGTTGTTACTGTCACTTTTGATCAATTTAGTGTGGCCTTTGCTGAAAAAAATATTATATATATATGTATATATATATATATATATATATATATATATATATATATATATATATATATATATATATATATATAT